CACTATGCTTTCATAACCCCTATTTTAGGTTTACTATGGAAGCATAATTTGGGTTTTCAAGTTATTAGAAGCTTTAATATAAGTGTTTTACAATATCATCATATCTCTCATGCCTTCTCATCAGAGTTCAGGTTTGCAGTTTCATTTGTTCACTTTGGTGTTTTGTTTAACAGCAATTGTTGGAGACATAACGCCAATAGATGGTGTGTCTAAAAAAGAAAAGACTTATCTCGAAAAAACAGCATTAGATCATATGTGTAAAGTACTTGGAGGAGGATCTGCAGGTATTTTTCACTCTGTAGTCTGTACATGGGTTTGTTAATCTGAGGATGGAGAAAACTCACACCCCTTGGTTTTTATTTGAATTTTCATATTGAAGCGACGGAAATAACTAAGTTGTGGATGGAGTATGAATCAAATTTTTCTCTAGAAGCTAAATTCGTCAAGGACCTTGACAAGGTTGGTGGCTTTTCTGCTAATGTCTTTCAGCGAGTCATAGGTTATAACTTTTGACTTGTGTGTAATTTGGTGTCTATGTGATCAATAGGTCCCATGGGGGGAATATAGAGAGTGAAGAGAGAAAGTGGAAAGTGGGGGAATGGGAAAGGGCTGATCCATTTGGAGGGGGGTGGGGGACTGTAGGGTTTATTGAACTTATCCTGAGAACTTGCCATGTCCCATCCAAGTGGGCTAGGCTCAGGATTACTTTTTGATTCATTTTAATAATGAGATATTGTGATTCATTTTATTGTTAATATTCTATCAGGCAGATGATTTTAATTTATTTAAAATTATTGTCACATTTTTGCCTGCATGCCTTTGAGTCTTGCCATATTCACAACTAGTTATCCCGATTCTCTAAATTTTGTTCCATACAGGTTGAGATGATACTCCAAGCTTTGGAATACGAAGATGGTGAGACAATTTTTTGAATTTTATTTTTCTTCTTATCTTTTAACTTTGTTATGATCATATTCAGGCCTTTTTAAATCATTTGGATAGTTTGACAATTCTTATAATAAATATCTACAAATTAATCTATATATGTTCAAGGAATTTGTATAAGAGAAGTGATGTTGAGTTTTGGGCACATGGTTTCCTGGACCAAGTGGATGGCCTCAATAATTAAGACAAGCTTGGTGGAGGGTCAGAGGCGTGGGAGTTTTATCATTCTCCTTAACAGATTAGCAACTATATCTAATATTTTGGCTAGAATTTTTCGGAATTTGTTATCTATAGGATATCATTAATGATATGTTATATTAAAATAAGAATGATGAGGGCAAACAACTGTTTAACTGCGCATTCATATATTTTTTATACAAATGTTTGTAAATCAGTTATTTTATGCAATGTTGGGCCTTTTTCATAGAATTTGAAAAATAATAACCTTATATGTTTCTTCTTCGGTTAGATTGAATAGAATATCCTCTACCATCTACTTATAACGGGTTGACTTCTCAGTTGTAATGATATTGTGGGGAATTATACAGGTTGCATCCTACTGGTTTTTAATTCTAGTACATGTTGCATTTAGAGTTAAAACTTTATATTAGTAAACATTGAAATGAAGGGGTATTTTGGTTATTTTTTTCAGTGTTATAATACTCATGGTTTAGATATTCTGAATTCTCTTTCTTGACTTTTTGCAGAGCAGGGGAAAAATTTGGAAGAATTTTTCCGGTCAATTGCTGGTATGAATCTTTTTCTAAGTGTGGTTTATTACTTTGTATTCGGAAATTGAATGATTGAAGCTAGATATTACGTGGTTTGTTAATAAGAAGAAATTACACATTTATGATTTTCTCTTACCTGCCCTTTTTTGTGTGTGGAACAACAACATTAAGCCTCAGCAGTAACTGCTTGCTAACATGAGATTGATTGTCATATATAACATCTCAAAATCGACATTTCTAAGTCGCTTACTTGATTTGTGAATTTATCCCATGACTTTGATATTCTGCATATTTTAGTTCACTTGGTAATAGTTGATCTTGGATTAGAAAATGTTTGATTCATTTTTCACACTATTTACGAAGTATCCATTTTCTGCTTTTTATGGTTAGATAATGTGTTGGGGAAAATTTTACCCTTTTGCAGGGAAGTTCCAGACTGAAACTGGCAAAGCTTGGGCATCAGAGATAGTATCGAGAAGGAAGAATCCATTCCCCATTACGGATCGCCCTGACAATATGTAGGAGGTTGTATTTGGTTCGTTACGAGTCTTTGTTCTTTTGTTCATTTGGCAAGAAAGGTGAGTAATAGGGGTTAGAGGTATGCATGAACTGCAGACCACCTAATAAGTTGAAGCTTTTCATGAAGCAACAAATGGTTAATTTCCCTAGGAAATTTAGTTTCTCGTATAATCAAATTTGTTCAACTGTCTTTATGGTTTAGGAAACGTGCCCTTGCCCTTATAGGGCAGCCAGCTACAACTAAAATAAAAAAAAGGCTGTTTTTTTCCTGCAACCTATCAATTTTTTTCTTATATCCCATCAAAGTTTCCGGAAAATCTTATCCAGAATAGAATTGGGTGAGGGTCTTCCAAAAAAAAAAAATGTTTCCGAGATTGATTTAGTAAAAACAGCCAATAGAAATGCATTTCATTAACTATTTTTTAACTTCAGAATTTTTAGATGTTTTAATCATTTTGTTTGATATAATGAGGGCTTTGCTAGATGTATAAAATTCTGCGTAGTACTTTTTTAAAAGAATATTTAATTATAATTTCAATAGTTAAATATACTATCTTATGTACGATAGTTCTTTAAAGTTATCGAACATTAGAAACCTAGGACCAAAAGAAAAATGTAAGGATACACCAAATTATTTGAAAACGAAATTCGTTGTGAACTAAATTCTTGGAAGTATTAAAATTAAAATGAAGTTATTGAAGTGTAGCTTATTTGTCACATTAGTGATAGAAAAATGAAACTAGTAGCATTGTTTTAAAACTTAAACATTCATTTTTGTTTTAATGTTTGAACTTAATTATTTATTACTTTACTACTTAAATTTAGATTATTTTACGAAAGTATATGTATAGACTTAAAAATTGACATTTTAAAAGTAATAATTGTTTAAAAATATTGAAATTTAATTTTTTTAATATAAATAATTTTATTATGAATTAGTTATATTATTTTTAAAATATATAATCTCTTTAGAAACTCCTTTTTTTTTAAGCTTTGGTTGATTTAGTTGTAATTTCTTAAATTAGAAGAATAAATTTGTTTTTTTTTATTGTGTAATCATCTTGTTTTTAATCTTGTCTCTAATATTTTCTTCCTTCAATAAATTTAATAACAATTATTATTAGATTTATAACAATTATTATTATATTTGCTATTATCCTAAGTTTTGTAATGGTTAATTTGTAAATTCAATTTATTACATAATTTTTTGTATAGAAAGAATTTATTTTATATTTGTTTTCCATTTTCTCTTATAATTAAATGAAAATAAAACAAAATAAAATTACACAATTCGTAATAATTATTTAAAAATCGTCTCCTCCATATATGTTATGGCTACTAAGCTCGTATTTTATAGTAATTATTACATGTCTTAACTTTTATTTCGATCTTGCAAACTTTACCTTTCAATCATATCTAGTAGACGTCTTTCTCAATGAAAATTTTTAAATTCTCAATCATTTTTCAATTCTCACTCCCATGTTAGCTTTATTTCAATTTCCTCTTATTTTGATTCTTTATGTAATCTTTTCCTTCTTAATTTTGTCTTTAATATCTTCATCCTTTAATGAATTTATCGTCACCTCAACGAATGTATTTATCATTACATTCTTTTTTTAGTTTCTCAATTTCAATATCTCGTGTAGAGATATTTCATACACTTTTTATAATTAGGTGAAAATAATTTTTCTTAGTCATTTTAAATTATTTTTACTTTTTCATTTATATTAATATTTAATCATGTATTCATCTAGTATTAAAAACAACTTCACACTATAATTTAAATTGTTTATTAACATAGTTTATATATTTAATTTTTAAATACAGTAGTCTTTTTAATGTTAGAATCTACTCATTCATTTTAAAGTAGAATTATAATTATAAACAAACAAATAAATACTTATTTAGTTATATTATTATTTATCAATATTTTTACCTTTATTTTTATTCTATCTGTTGTGCTTAATATCATTATTCCTTTTTGTTTTTTTGTCTTTTTAATTCATTTTTGGTGGCAGGAAAAAATTCTCTATAATCACACAGACAATAAAATATACATTTTTTTTATTAATTTTAACACTTTTATATAAAAGACAAAAACATAAATGAAGGACGAGATTTTTAAACTGTACAGTTCAGTTTTCAGAAACCGGATAGGATTAATAGTGGTTGTATAAAAACTAAAACTCCTTGGGAATGGGCGCGTAAAAGCAAGGGTAAATCTTCGCAACCTTGTTTACTGAAGCCCGATGAGGAAGAGATATCCACACTCCGTCGCGAATTCGAAGCCTTTAAACAGATATTCCAGATGCGCTCAGAAGAATGTCGAATATAAATCCTAAAGGTTTGTTGCTTTAATATTTCTTATCGGAATTATGTTGATAGTTTTTTTTTGTTTTTTTTTTAATCTTATGTTTATTAGATTAGGCATATATGTGAATAGGAACTTGGGATTGGATAAATTGCAAGTTTATGGATTCAACTATGATTACACTTTGGCGCATTACTTGTCGCATTTGCAGACTTTGACCTTGCCAAGGAGCATTTGGTTGGTGAGGTTAGCTCTCACAGAGCTCTGGCTGTGTGTTTTTATTTCTTTACTTGTCTTTTGCTTCTTTCAGCTTAGGTATTCGGAGCTTTGTTTGGGTTTAATTATCTCGTAATCTTCTATTTATAACAATAAATTGATACAGGATACATGATTATTAGAGTAATTCTAAATATAGTATATAATCATGATAAATAAGAAAACTTTAAACACAGTATAATCATGATAAATAGGATAATCTTAGACACACTATAATTATGATTATAGTTCGATTGATGTGAATGAATGCTTCTATGGTAGACGGAAGGTATTTGGAACTCATTGTTTTTGTTTCATTGGCAGTTGAATGCACCTCTTTATAACTTGGTTTTAAACTCTATGAATTGTTTCCTGGTTCTGAAAATTCACATTGGCAAATTAAATGGTAGTTATATTTGATAAACGTCAGCCAACATGGTTTGTCTGTTTTTTCATATATTAAAATAGTGCCAGTAAAAGAGATTTCTTTTTATGCGTTGATTTCTTTCCATTGAATAATTTTTCAGCTAAGTCAAAAGGAAATACATGAGATATATGGCACTCGACATATTGGTCGTGATCAAGCTCGATCACTTGTTGGTTTGATGGATTTCTTCTGCTTTAGTGAGGTTAGTTCCTTGTTATCCTGTTAATAAATAACTTTTGTTTTTGTATTGTGTAATGTTGGAGCTTTACCTCAGTGAACTTTTATGCTTTGAGTTTTGTACTCTTCTTCATATGTCAAAGAAGATTATTGTTATTTCGTGTATACATGTCATAAAGTTGGGCACACAAATAATTGATTGGCATCCATAATGGCCATACTGCAATATTTTTCTGTCATTGATTTGAGCCCCTACAACATATGAAGTAGTCATAGGATGTAGGGAAAAGTTAAATCTTGTAAGATAAAAGGTTACTTCCTTCCCGCACAATTTTTAAATATTTGTCTGATGATTAGATATTTTTTATCTTTGAAAAAAAAACCAAAAAAGTAGTTTTGGTGCTTAGTTGCTTTTCCAATAATAAACTAATATTAAAGCAGAAGTACCGTTTTCAAAAGTTTATCCAAATGTACGCACCCTTATTATTGAGACTTGACCTAGTATATTCAATCCTAATTGCCCTTGCTTCTTCAATTGACCATTTATTATGTTGTTGACGGTTGCACTCAAAGTGATAGAGACCTTCTTAGACTCTTGTTGGGTTGGATCTTCCATTCAAGCTTCATGACTTTAGAGAACCTTCTTGGATGTAAGAACTTGCACCAGTTGGGAATCTTCGTGAGTTATTGAAGGCTTTCTTGGTTGGACATGGTCTGGCTGGGTACTTGATGGTTCAAGGTGAGGATGCTCTCGGCTATGTTGAATTTCTTGATTCGTACTTAGAGGTAAGCACAACCGTAGGTTGTGGAAGCTATTAGGAGAGATTAGGATAATGTTTCTTGAATACTTGAAGGATTCTTGGATCCTAACTTGCTTTGATATTTCGGCCAAACAAGAGAAGCATGAGGTGAAAATTATTTCAATTATGAAGGTCTGATGTTGCTAATCTAAGGAGGCCGAGAGGATTGAGTTTAGTTTAGGAGGAAAAAAGTTCTTGAAAGGCAAGGTAGGCTTTGATTCTTTTTAAGGTTTGGCCTTGAGGTTTGTTTTGTTGGGTAATTTTCTTTGTTGCAAGAATGATGAATTTTGATGGCTAAAGGAGGAGGTGTGCACACAAGCTCAAAAAAGCAAGAGAAGGAAACCAAGAATGGTTAGGAGAAAAGAGGAAGGAACAAGACTAAACAAAGACATTTACCTTGTCAAAAAGTGGCGGTTAGAACTTTGCATACATTTGCGGTCTAAAATAATGGCGGTTTGCAGACACAGCCACTCTAATTCTTTCTATTTATTTATTATTATTATTATGGATTTTTATAGGTGATAACAGTATTTTTTCTTTTAATACGCAGAAGATGGTCATTGGTAGAAAGCTAAGAAAATTACCCCATTAGGTAAATGACTAATTAAGCCATCCTAATCAACTGACAGTTGTCTAAAATAAGGGTTTTTTCGTTATTTGAACTGACCCGTTTGAACTACCAGTTTAGCATGACCTTCTTCTCGGTACTATCATACTAATGAGTGGGAGTATTGTCTTTTAACGTTTTCCGCTTCACGTGAGTCTGAATGGTTTGGACCTTCTTCTTCTATATAATATCAGACCATCTATGCTTCTCCCGCTTCTTGTTCTTCTCTTTTTACCTTTTCTGCGAACAAATATCAGCCTTCATTTATGTTATCTTTTTTCGTCTTCTATGCATCTTTGGACGTGTGAAAGGTTAGTCATCCACATATACTTTTCCTACTTTGTCCACTTTTTCGCTTTCTATGTTCATCTTCTTCTCCTTTTTGGACCTCATCTCTCAACTTTTGGCTTTCTTCGTCTCTTTCTACTTATTCCTTCTATTTACATGTATAGAACTCAGTAGCTTGACTTCTACTTTGTTAATCGAACTCTGTTTTTGTTAAAGATTTGGCGAACATTGAGTTTATTAAGTTACGTATTTTATAACCCAACTTCTATTTCGTGTGTATCTTTGTGGTTTTGGCTTCAAGTTTGTATTTTTATCTCATTAAATTGATTCTTCACCTGTTTCCATCATGTATTAGACGAAAACAAAATTGACATGATCAAGAAGAGAAACGTTGAATCTTGTTGTGAAATATATGGAGATGATTCTTACATATTAATCTAAAGTATCAATGCATGACTTAAACTTTGTGCTTAATGTATATCAAATCTTCATCATATATATATATATATATATATATATATATATATATATATAACATGATAAATATTATGATGGTCAGGGTGATACCTGCAATGATTAAGAAGGAAGATATGGGTTTGTGGGAGGATAAGAGGTTCAAAGTTATATAATGTATAATTTTAATATCTTAAAGAACATGAGCTGAATTTAGTGTATGCGAAGTATAAAGGATATCATGGAAAATACTATGTTGATTTGTTGATTTGTTGATTGGTAAAGTATATTGTTGATTTCTTCAAAAGCATATATGTTCTTCCTTGATAGATATATTGATTTCTAATTACTTGCTGATGTAGTTTATAATTTTCTACAATTTAGATGTCATGGGTGTGGTGGAATTTGTATTGTCTAAAATTCATGACTTCTCTTGGAAGACAAATCGTGTAACACTTAATCCTGTATAAGGTTTTAACAGATTGATAACTTATTCGTGGTTTTTTTTTTTCTTTTAGCTAAAGTAATTAATTTTGAATAGGACCATGGTCAGTTTCACTTGATAATGGGTGATGATGTACCTGAGTTACAAGATTTTAAGAAGCACTTTATATTATAGAAAAAATATTTTCCTACTATGAAGGAAGACTAATAAATTTGTAATTGCACAACTTGTAGAACTGAATATTAGAACGGTGAGGACGATCCCAAGTGTTTTCTAGAGGATCTAGATGTTGTCTTAGGATGTACTACGGCTTTTAAGGTTAAGCTACAACCAACGAACTCCGAACTCCGAACTCCGAACTCCGAACTCCGAGCTCCGAGCTCCGAGCGCCGAGCGCCGAGCGCCGAGCGCTGAGCGCCGAGCGCCGAGCGCCGAGCGTCAACGTCGAACGCCGAACCCCGAACCACGAATCGGGAACCCCGAACCTCAAACCCTGAATTGAACCCTGAATTGAACCCTGAATTGATCCTTGAACCCTGAACCCTGAACCCTGAACCCTGAATCCCGAACCCTAATCTCGAACCCCGAACCCCGAACCCCGAACCTCGAACCCCGAACCCCGAGCACCAAACCCACAACCCACAACCCCAAGCCTGCAACCCCAACCATGAGCCCGCAACCCTGAACCCTCAACCCTCAACCCTCAGCCCTCAACCCTCAACCCAAAACCCAAAATCCCGAACCAACCTTTAACCCTTAACTCACAACCCCAATCTCGAGCCCGCAACCCCGAACTCGCGCAACCCTCAACCGTAAATCCTGAACCCTCATTACTTAGGTTTGAATACGTTTAAACATGTACACTTGAATGGTCTAGTTAAATCTGTATGAATCCTAGATAAACATCTATTTACCAAAATATTAGTCTTGTGCTAGTGGGTTGGGTTGAAACTAACATATTAAGACACGAGAACATTTAAATGGGAAAATTTTGAGCAATTTTGAGTCATATTATATAGCATACAACAAGCAAGCAACTCTCAATAGTGAAGAATGGTAGCATCTAAAGGAGCATTCATTCTTGTTTAGTAAATCCTAATTATTCATTACATTTATAATTGCTGAAATAGAAAACAATTAAACTATGAAACGAATATGAAAAGCTTGTCTGTCTAATTTAGTGGTATAAATAAATAAAGTTTAATACATCATTTGGTCCCTACTTTTGGGGGTATGGTTTAAACTGATCATACCTCTTAAAAAAGTTCAGTAAGAAATACGATCCTTTTCGCTAACGCTGTTAAAAACCTAACGGTGCAGATGCCACCGTGGCCAAACCTGAGTGAGCTGTTATGTTTGATGATTACGTGGTAATGTGCAATGAAGTGAGTTGGTGGAAATGTTTAAAGTTGAGGTTATTGTGTCTAATAAAAGGGGTGATTAGGGTTCGTGCAAGTTGTTCCCTTTTTTTTAGCACAGTGGTTGTGGGTAGATAGAAATGGCTTCTTCCCAATGTTGTTCTTCTTGTTCCAAAACAGGGTGGGAAAGAAATTCGCAATCCGCAACTGATGGTGGTTGGAGGGGAGGTGGGATAATCCCTCATTGCAAATGTGGTGATTATGTTGTGAGCAAAGTGGCGAGAACTCCACAGAATGCTAGCAGACAATTTTGGGGATGTCGTCATTACAAGGTTTTTTAAATACCCCGTCACTTTATTTGTTCATAGATTGATGAGTTAGAACCAATTTTGGTGGCTTATTTGGTGCATAACAGGATGGATCGTCAAGAGAGATGTACTGTAACTTTTTCAAGTGGTGTAATGAAGAAAATAATGACGAAAGAGATGGTGAAATTGTTAGACAAAGGAGGGGGATATGTGAGCTGGAAATTTTAGTCCAAAAGTTGCAGAAAAGGATAAAATTGTTACTTGGAGTTATGTGTGTTGTTATTGCGCTGAACACTGTGACAATGTGGGTCTGTTTAGGTTGATCTTCGTAGGTGGGTCAATGTTTACGTTTAAATCTAGGTCAGTGTTTATGTTCATATCAATGTGAAGGTGAAGCTCAATGTTTAGGTTGAAGTGTATGTGATTGTTTATGTTGTTTATGTTTATATAATGTGAAGGTGAAGGTCAATGTAATGTGAAGGTGTTCATGTGAAATGTTAAATTTAGTATCCGCTTTCATTTTAAAATGTCCAATGTGGTCCCCTTTTGAATTTAAAACTGTTACTTTTGGTCCCAAAGACACATGTAATATCTCTGCCATAATATACGAACACAAGTGTTTGTCATGACTACATAATTAAAGTGCACCTAGAAAGTACATAATAAAAGTTGATCACATGACAATCAAAGTAAATAATAAAACTTAATCATTTCACATTGTCACGTAATCATCAAACATAACAACTCACTCAGGTTTGGCCATGGTGGCATCTGCACCGTTAGGTTTTTAACGGCGTCAGCAAAAATGACCGTATTGAACATTTTTAAACGAAATATGAAGCTTTACTGAACTTTTTCAAAAAGTATGATCAGTTTGAACCAAACTTCCAAAAATAAGGATCAAATGATATATTAAACCAATAAATAAATAAATGGTTAGATAAATTAAACAAGACTCTTTTGTTAACCATGAACAGAAAAATATCCAAATCCATTTCCTGAACCACTTTGAAACCAAAAGTAGTGTCATGCATGAACTATAACAAAGAAATACAATGTAATGGTGAGAATGCAGTAATTTTGGGTATGGTGTGCGGTGGTTTAGGACAGCCATGGTAGCTTGTTGTCGAGGAATGTAGATTGGGGTAAGGTGTGCGAGCCTTATTAGGTATTGCAGCTTGTTTCTTGTTCAAAATATGATATCAAGTTGTCCTGGATCCTGGTTGAAAGGAGTGTGTCTCTTGTTGAGGTTTAATCTCATTCAAAAACCCATCATACATGAGGGATCTAAGGATGGTTAAATGGTAAAAATGAAAAGGAAAATGAGAGAAGGCTGTAAATGTAATTCTCCCCACTAATAATTTAAAAATATAAAATTAGTTTGGTAGGTTTTGAAATGAAGGATAAGATAAATAATAAATTTAATTCTATCCATTTACAAATACTAATACTAGCATTGTAAAAAAAAAAAAGTCCTACTATACTCATTCTTGCTTGGGAGTCCCCAAATTGATTTTTTATTTAAAACTGTCTAATATGTTGATTGATCATTATTAAGATGGGAAGTACATTGGCCGTAGTGTTTCCAGAATGATCAGTCCCACTCACCCATAATTTTGGCCTCATTGTATATTCGAACGAAAAACCGTAGTCCTACTTTAGAAAGGAGCAACTCTAAATCTATTATATTCTTTTATAACATACATTATAAACCTATTAATTTTATTTGATTTTAGATGTCTATTATATATTTATTTTTTTCTTCATATCTTTTTCTTTTTATCACGTTATATATTCTATAAATTTATTACTTTTATTCTCTTTTTAAATATATCAATGTATTGATCAATTCAATTTTTTTTATGTACGAGTATTTTCCATTTAGAAACTGAAACAAAGTATATATGCCGACATGCAGGGAGAAAAATCTGGAAAGTCGTTATGTTTTACAGTAAGTCAGGACAGTAAGGAGACCTCATAATAAATTTTTGGTGTTGGTTCCTATTTTTTTTTTGTTAACGAGGGATTTGTTTTTTTTAAATGTTTAATGTAATTATTTATATTATAATTTATGTTTGTTGGTTCCTATTTTTTTTGGTTAATGAGGATTTTTTTTAAAAATGTTTAATGTAATTTTTGATATTGTAATTTATGTTCAATTTAATTTTTTGGTAAGATGTTTAAATCGTTAACGGTTAAAATCAGTCATGTTATTTATTGGTGACACTTTAAGGTATAGTGAGGTGAATTTATATTTTTTTAAAGTTATTTTTTTAAGGTATAGTGAGGTGAATTTATATTTTTTTAAAGTTATTTTCTGATTTTAGGGTTTTTATTTTCAATTCTCTTGCTTTATTATTAATCTTTTTTAAGAATGTCCAACAATGAGTCTTTACGATCAGACCAACCCTGATCCCATGATGGCATTCACCAGCTCTCCATGGACATCACTCGTGCAATCAAAAAATAACCAAGAATCAGATAACAAAACAAGACTCGCGATTCAAGAGATGAATACCACAACCATCAACCTTAATTGAAGAATAGGAAAACTCCAAATTTAATTCAACGAAATCTTACATCTTAACTCACAGAAGAAATCAAATAATCATAATAGAAACCTCCAAATTTTGATGTACAACTGAAATCCTCCGTCGCACTCTCGTTGCCTCTGTCGCGCTCTCTTTGCCTCCGCCATGCTTTTGGGCGCTTTCGTCACGCCTCTGCCTCGCCTGAACGTGTATCCCCTTTTTACAAACCCTCGACAAGACCAAAGAGAAAAGGGATGGAGCTCTCTCCCTTGCGACACAAACTAGATCAAGAATAGAGAGTAAAGAGATCACGACTACCTCCTGAACCAAACTAGAAAACAAAAGGAGGAGAAAGGTTTGTTGTAATGCAAACCAGTACGCTATGAAGGAAGGAAGAAGAGCACATCCACAGTGTCACCGTCCTCGTTGCCAAGAGGCTGTTGTTCGAGCCACAAAGCCATTATCACCCCAAAAATGACTTTTCGAGTGTTGAGAAGAGAAAATCTCCAATTTGGTTCTCATGCGTTTTCTTGCTTGAGTTAATAAATTTAGCCAAAAAAGCTTTAATTAGTGTATGATGACAATCATGATATCAGAAAATAAAAATCCTAATATCATAAAATAACTTTCAAAAAATATAAATTCACCTCAGTATGTCTTAAAGTGTCCCGTCAATTAGGCATATCATTTAATGATTGTTCTTCTGAATATTTAGACGTTAACTATTTAAACGTCTTTAACCAAAAGGACTAAATTATAATATAAAGGACTCCATTGAACATTCTAAAACAAAAATAGAGACATAACATGGGTATTAAGTTTAAATTTTTAAATAATTTATTCACATGGATCAATCAATTAGTGAAACCATGGCATATTTTTCAAATACCACATTTTATTTCCAAACTTATTATATACTCGATAAAGAGGGCAAAGAGAGAATATTGACAAGATAATAAAAGAGCAAAATCTAAAGAAAACGCCAATAACTAGCAAACTTTTTTATTATAAAAATCCAGTTTTCTATTATTTTATTTGTAGACTTACAAGAGTGGATGAAATTGAAGAAAAGATTCTACTCCCTTAGAGAGAGACAAGTGAGAACAATGTATGCAGAAGCCGTTGAAATGAGGTGAATGTGCATGGAAGAAAGAAGAAAGAACAAGGCAAATACTGCTATTCACCAATATTCCTAATTTTGTACAAATGTTTCTTAAATCAAATACACTGAAAAGAATGGAAGTTTTAACAACGACTTAACGATAAGGAGCAAATGATGAGGAACAATCTTCATATAAAAAAGCAATATGTGAAAAACTAGTTTTACATGCCAGTGAGACACATATAAACGTCTAAAAATCACAAATACTTCGTCTCTAATTCGAGCAGCAACCTGCCTTCTGGTTCACTGGTTGTCCTCGAATTTGGACGGTTGGAGGCCTGGCATTGTTCACTGGTTGGCTTGCCATTCTGTGGAAAAAAACCAAAGAGATCATATCAAGCTGAACACTACCCATTAAAGGAACTTAATAAATTTCATTTAAATTCACATCATTAAAAACAAAATGAATAGCAATAATTAGTAGAAGGGGAAAAAGAGGTCCTTTATTGACCTGTTTTTAATTTCAGCGGCCATGGCCATGAAAACCTGCTCTACATTAGTGGCATTTTTAGCACTAGTTTCCATGAACGGAATTCCAATTTCGTCCGCAAATGCCTTCAAAGATAAGAGCAGAAAGCACAAACATCAGAACATTAGACAAAAGTAAGACATGTCGCTGGGAAATATACACGATGAAACAAATTAAAATTTAGAATCACCTTTGCTGTCTCATAGGACACAACTTTATTTGCTGTAAGATCACACTTGTTTCCAACTAGAAGCTTGTTAACATTTTCACTTGCATAACGGTCAATTTCATTCAGCCACTGCTTAACATTATTGAAGCTATCTTGGTCAGTGACATCATAAACAACCTGTAAAAAAAGCAACATGATTACAACAATGTTTTCCAAAGAACCAAAGGAAACTAAATCAAGAAGGAGAACCAGTTTAAAACACTAACAATAATGCCATGAGCCCCACGATAGTAGCTGCTAGTGATTGTCCGGAAACGTTCCTGGCCCGCAGTGTCCCACTATATGGTAAAAAAATGTAGAAAAATCTGTCAACAATCACAAAATAGAGTAAAGTAACGATCCCAGATAAATGGGACAGGTGTTTAAACAAATAATTTCCCACTTTTTCACGGGTAACCTTAAATCCTCAAATAATACAGGTTCAACGGACCTACTACAAATTGGTGACAGAAAACAATTTGGATTAAGAGTCTTAGCCAATGAACTACATGATTATTACATTAAGCATAAATAAAGAGATTCTTGAGTACGTGAGTGATAACTCAGATTCAGCATTTTTTTCTAAGCATTCTCAAATTGATTATACAAGTATTCCAGTAATAGACAATTTCACAAGATGTAATTTAGAAGTACAAAACAAATTGACACATAATCAATTTGTGTCTAAGGCAAAGCACAACACAAATAACATTTATTAAAGTCAAAGATCATGTGCTTACAATTTGAAGTTTAATAGTCTTCCCATCCTGCTCCACAGTGCGGATTTTCTATAAAAGGGGGCGTGGTAAATAATTAGTTGCATATTTGTGCTCAAAATAAAATGGAGATTAGGTTAATGCTAAATACAAATGCTTACAAAGTCCACTCCAATGGTACTGATATAGCTATCAAGGTATGAATCATCCTGTTTCACGACAAAATAAAATATTCAGGGTAACCTCCACTACTTAAAATAAATTCAATAAAACTTTTGNGTTCATGTGAAATGTTAAATTTAGTATCCGCTTTCATTTTAAAATGTCCAATGTGGTCCCCTTTTGAATTTAAAACTGTTACTTTTGGTCCCAAAGACACATGTAATATCTCTGCCATAATATACGAACACAAGTGTTTGTCATGACTACATAATTAAAGTGCACCTAGAAAGTACATAATAAAAGTTGATCACATGACAATCAAAGTAAATAATAAAACTTAATCATTTCACATTGTCACGTAATCATCAAACATAACAACTCACTCAGGTTTGGCCATGGTGGCATCTGCACCGTTAGGTTTTTAACGGCGTCAGCAAAAATGACCGTATTGAACATTTTTAAACGAAATATGAAGCTTTACTGAACTTTTTCAAAAAGTATGATCAGTTTGAACCAAACTTCCAAAAATAAGGATCAAATGATATATTAAACCAATAAATAAATAAATGGTTAGATAAATTAAACAAGACTCTTTTGTTAACCATGAACAGAAAAATATCCAAATCCATTTCCTGAACCACTTTGAAACCAAAAGTAGTGTCATGCATGAACTATAACAAAGAAATACAATGTAATGGTGAGAATGCAGTAATTTTGGGTATGGTGTGCGGTGGTTTAGGACAGCCATGGTAGCTTGTTGTCGAGGAATGTAGATTGGGGTAAGGTGTGCGAGCCTTATTAGGTATTGCAGCTTGTTTCTTGTTCAAAATATGATATCAAGTTGTCCTGGATCCTGGTTGAAAGGAGTGTGTCTCTTGTTGAGGTTTAATCTCATTCAAAAACCCATCATACATGAGGGATCTAAGGATGGTTAAATGGTAAAAATGAAAAGGAAAATGAGAGAAGGCTGTAAATGTAATTCTCCCCACTAATAATTTAAAAATATAAAATTAGTTTGGTAGGTTTTGAAATGAAGGATAAGATAAATAATAAATTTAATTCTATCCATTTACAAATACTAATACTAGCATTGTAAAAAAAAAAAAGTCCTACTATACTCATTCTTGCTTGGGAGTCCCCAAATTGATTTTTTATTTAAAACTGTCTAATATGTTGATTGATCATTATTAAGATGGGAAGTACATTGGCCGTAGTGTTTCCAGAATGATCAGTCCCACTCACCCATAATTTTGGCCTCATTGTATATTCGAACGAAAAACCGTAGTCCTACTTTAGAAAGGAGCAACTCTAAATCTATTATATTCTTTTATAACATACATTATAAACCTATTAATTTTATTTGATTTTAGATGTCTATTATATATTTATTTTTTTCTTCATATCTTTTTCTTTTTATCACGTTATATATTCTATAAATTTATTACTTTTATTCTCTTTTTAAATATATCAATGTATTGATCAATTCAATTTTTTTTATGTACGAGTATTTTCCATTTAGAAACTGAAACAAAGTATATATGCCGACATGCAGGGAGAAAAATCTGGAAAGTCGTTATGTTTTACAGTAAGTCAGGACAGTAAGGAGACCTCATAATAAATTTTTGGTGTTGGTTCCTATTTTTTTTTTGTTAACGAGGGATTTGTTTTTTTTAAATGTTTAATGTAATTATTTATATTATAATTTATGTTTGTTGGTTCCTATTTTTTTTGGTTAATGAGGATTTTTTTTAAAAATGTTTAATGTAATTTTTGATAT